TTCTCTGCCTACATCACACTTGTGCATTCATGTGACCTGGCTTTAATTTAACATTTGGTAAATATTTGCATAGTAATTCCTAAAGTGTTCTCCCACACATAAAGGAAATGATGATAAACAGTTTTTAAGTGGCTTGATGTTAAACACAAACATGACTTGCAGCCCTAAGGTAAAGTGCACATTAGAGTAACTGTTCAATATTCATTTGGGAAGTGCTGGTATGCATTATAGCAGGTGACTTATTTGTACTTTCTCTGTACATATTTACATGTTTGTTCTGTGTACCTCGGCTAAACTTCCGCACAAGGGTTATATGCCATGCTGTAGGAGAACTTCTCCCTGCTTGTGCTGTTAGGGTATTTTGGGACTGTTTTGAAGAAAGCCTGTAGATGTATTTTCACCTAAATGACCCTGCTATCAGGAGAGCATTTAGGAGCACAGATAGACAGTAACCAAACTTGAAAGCTGCCCAGAACTTCTAGGCTGCTGTTAGTGTTTTATTTTTACAAGAAACTAATTCTTTGGTTTTTCAAAACTAATTCTTTCTTCTCGGGTGTATGAACTTCCAGTGGTGATGGTTAAGAAGAAGCTGGGAAGAATCATTCTAGGCACTGTCACTCATTGGAAGAGGGCTTAAATCTCAAGCTAAAACCTCTGTGTTTCAGAATACAGTTCTTAAACTCTTTTGCTTTATATTTCATGGTTTCTTAGCAAGTGCGTTCTCATGTAAATATGTCCTTAATCCCTTCCCTGAGTGGGAATGAGGTGTCATCTTCTCCTGTGTTATTTATAAACTTAGAAATTCAGCATTTTCTGCTTTCAACAGAGAAGCAGTGTTATTTCATTGAAGCAAACATAGGCAAGCTGGGATCAACCCTTCACACGTCAAATGCCGCAACAACCTGTGACCTGTGTTATTGGGTTCCAACTTTCAGACCTTTCAGGAAACACTGCAGAGGCAGAAAAGCTGTCTGTTTTGCAAGGACTGGTGATAATACTTTAATAAAGTTACCCTGTTACTTCGGAAATGCGTTCTCCTGCCTAGCAGTTTTACAATATATGGAAAGCTGAAGTGTTCTGGAAGTTCTTGTGGTGGTTGTTTCTTACTAAAACATAGGAAACTTAAATGAAGACCGTCCTTTTTAAAGGAAAGGTTTGATTTCTCTTATGACAATTCTATCTTGGATGTACCACAGTTATTTTTCAGACCTGTTCTACTCCTTGAGCTGTAAATAACTTACGAGTGTGTGTGTATGCATATGCATGCACATTCATTTTTCCTCCTGTTACTGGCCATCCCCTACTCATTGTGGGGTGAAATGCTGTTTGGGACGTAAGATATTCAGCTCTTATATGTACTGGTAGTTAATGGCTTGTTTTATATGGCAGGTTAGCTAAAATATCAGTGTTTTATTTAGTGGAGCTGTCTGGTCTCTTGGTGGGAGTAAAGCAGCACAGAAGAAATTGCTATATAGATTTTAGGGTTTTTTATATATAGACACTTTGTATCCTGTGCATGGCAGTGTTTGGAGTTCATCCAAAGAACAGAGAATGTTCTCTGACTTTGAAATCACTTTGGAATGGGTGAGTGATTTTGCTGGGCGAATGAACTGTTGTTACTGCTGTGACTCTGCAGAGGGAATTTCCTCCACCTAGGCTGTCTAGAAGTAGTTACTATTTGCTTCATCAAACAAGTCTATAAAAAGAAGCATATCTCTCTCTGTGCTTAGTAGCTGGGTTTGTTGTTTTTTTTTTTTACCTTGCAGGGCTGAAGTTCTGGTTAAGTTAATAGAAACCAGTTTCACATTTGTATCTCTGACACAGCAGATGTTCAGTCTTCTTGTAATTTCTGGTGGTTGCTGTAATTGGGAAGTCTTGGGACCAAAAGGTCATAGTGTCTTCACACTGTGTGTACCTGAGTCACAGTGTTTGTGGGAGCGGTGCCTAAACTATTAGGATGTATTTTTCTGATAAGGAAGCAATTTGAATCTTGTTCTGCTTTAATTCTTGTATTTCATTACAAATTGTCATTCGTTTCTTTCAAAAAAAGTTAACATTGGCTCCACTTGCTACAAAAGATTGGTGAGGAATGGCATCTTCTGTCCTTTCAGACTGATTTAGAGACTTTTCTCTTGATATGGCCACTAACAAACTCATTAAATTACTATATTTGTCATGGCCCAGAGTGAAAAGAAGGTTAATAATTTAAGCTTAGTTTAGGATGGCTGTGTGTCTTGATCTTGTCTCCTGCCAACTTGCTGCATTCTGTTGGGACAGTAGAGCTTTTGCTGTCCTTTTTTCTTTATTTCTTTTTCCATGACACATCTGGGTTGATGCAGCTACTGAATCACAAATAGAAGGGAACATTGAAAGCAAGATATTCCCATCAGCTGTTTATTTTTTTTTTCACACCTACATTATTCTGTCTACAGGATGCTTAAACATCATAATACGTAGAAAGGGTTTTGCTATATCTTCAGGCAAAACTCTGTTAGCTGCAGAAGTTTGTTGAATTAAGAGGAGTGTTTTTCAAATACGCTGTTTTAGTGTCACTAACTTAGAAAACCTTTTGTGTGACTGCATTAGTTAAAAGGTTCAGGAGGAACATTTCTGGCTACTGATGTATTCCAAGTTTGAGGGAATCGTATTTTGTAAGTTAATTGGCAGGTCAAATGACACTCTTTCACAAGGTTTCTGCATTAGGTAAATTGTTCGAGCTAAGTTAACCTGCTTGCTTGTTCCACAGAGGTTCATTTCTTTTCTTCCTTTTCATCTTAGGATTTTGTGGTTATAGTAAAAATGCTTAAATCAGGAGCTTTAAAACAGAGCTTTGAGCTCTGATAGTTGTCTACACTTCAGCGTCTTGAAGAGACAAAAGCATCATAGTTGATTTGCTTAAACTTTCTAATTTTGAACAGCTGATACCCACAATGAACAAACATTTTCAGTTTTACAAATGGGTGGTTTCAGTGCAAGATGAAATAACTGTAGTTAGAGGTGAATTACAGATTAAATAGATCCGTTACAAATAGAGATACTTTTATGTGCTTAATTGGGTGGTTGTCGTTAAGCCAAAGTGTACTTTAGATACACTTAATCCTCAGACAAGTGTAAGGGGGTAAAAAGACTGTGGGTTAACCTAAGGCAGCTGAGCCCCACACAGCTGCTTGCTCACTCCTTGCCTAGTGGGCTGGGAGGGAGAATTGTAAGGGTACAAGTGAGAACTCATGGGCTGAGATAAAGACAGTTTAATAGGCAAAACAAAATTCCATGGTATGGAATATGCCTTTGGCCAGTTGGGTCAGCTGTCCTGGCTGTGCTCCCCCAGCTCACTTGCTGGTGGGGTGGTGTGAAAGCCAGAAAAAGGCTTGACTCTGTGTAAGCACTGCTCAGCAATAACTAAAACATCACTGTGTTATCAACACTGTTCCAGCAACTGGCTGCTATGAAGGAAATTAACTTTAGCCCAGCCAAAACCAGTACGTGTGAGTGGAAGAATTGAAACTGAACTGTAGAAGCAAGATGAGTCAGAACAGGCAGAACATTTTGTTTAGAGTTCACACAGCAAAGATGCTAGTGGCATGATGGGCTGACCTGTTGGTAATGCTAGGGTAGTTGTGGTGTGAGGCTTTTCATTTTATTTTTTGACTGCTGCCTATTGATGACATAATCAAATTGATCCACATCTATACCTACAATGGAATTATCCAGATTTATCTTCTATCTGCATCAGTTAATGGCCACAGCTATAGAATGCCCATAAATAAATATGGAGTGCAGTATCTGTACTTCTGAGGGACTTAATTGCATGGGGAATATCCAAATGGTAGTGATAAGGGACCTGCTAGTCTATGTAGTGTGTCTGTTGTGCTTCACTTGGTTTCTGAGAATTGTGATCTATTTAGACTTGACAAGGAAGAAGTTGGAGATACAGAGGTAATATAAAGGAATTACTGAGATTGTGTATTGCACATCAGCAGTGCTCTTCTTTGTCCATTTCTGAAACCTTTCTCAAAGCTACATGTGTGTGTGCAACTTTCACGACCATTAATTTTAGCATATGCTGGCCAGTCTCCACAATATTTGTTGGAACAGTAAAATCTGCTTTGCAGTCTCAACTAAGCTTTCTTCAGTGTGCTGTCCAAAATGTGCCAGTTCAACATTTATCAGTGCTGATACCATAGGATACTCAGACTTGTTGCTATCACTGAATGAGCTGCCATGTGCTTGTTAAACCATAGCTGGCCCTAATAGGAGAAATGCTTGAATGTTAAGGCAATTCAAACATAACTCCCACTTAGCCTGTCCCTCTCAGAACCTAGGTATACACAGTAAGGTGGTATGGTTTGAGGGCAGTGATTATGGATGCTGTGTCTGCTTCCTGATTTGTATTTCATGTCAGGGAGAATTTGCTGCTGAGCAGTGCGTTTTGAACCTTTTGGCTTCAGGGTCAGTGGAATGATGGCTAAGCTCCCGTTATTGAAGTCAAGTAATAATATATGAGGAAAACATTGGTTTGGAAAGCTAACTTGATTCTTCTTCATCTGGTACACAGTGTTGTAGTAGAATTTGAGAGCATTTATTTGTGAAAGCAAACTGTGATTTATTCTGTTCATTTATATTTTGCCACAGTAGCCTGACCTGCTTCCTCAGAGAAATAAATAATGGGAGTTTTAAATACATATAAATACAGGCATACACTCCTCCTCCTATAAACTGTCAGGAGTGGTGCATTTCCATCCGTATATGTACTTACATTAACTGTTTAAATAAATAATGACAAGGAAATGTACATTTTGCAGATCTTTTATGTAGTGTTCTAAAAGTAGTGTCTTGTTATGTGTCTGTAGTTTTCATTCTATTTTGAATTTTGGTTCCAAGCTTCCACCCCATGATTAAAGAGGGAAGTAGATGGGGAGCAAAGAGGTACAAAGCTGCTTTGTCTGACAACACTAAAACCATGCAAGGTTAGATTAACAAGTCTTGTGCCTGTCTTACAGGATCCAGCTTCCTGGGTAAATATTCACCACCTGGAGTATACAGATGGAGGCATTCTGGACCCAGATGATGTGCTGGCAGATGTTGTGGAAGACAAAGATAAGGTAGAACTTGGATAAAAATACTGGTTTTGCTTTTTGGTGTGTCTCTTCAAAGAAGTTATGCTACTTTCTTGTTTCTCAGGCATCTGGCAAGTGAAGTGGGTGTTAAATATTCCTAAATGAAACACATCTGCCCATAGGTGCTATACCTCTGTGTTTCTGGAGTAGAACTGGGCGGGGGGGGTGGGGTGGGAAGAGACAGATGCAGGATGGGGGACGCACCTTTTCAAGCAGTTCTGTGTTTCTTTTTATAGCTGCATGAAAACAGTGGTAGAGGAATGAGAGTTTTGTAAGACATCTTTTTTTTCATGCCACTTGAAATATCTTTTATAGTCTTTTTCCTTTGCTTAGGATTGTTTTTGAGAATCATTCAAATGGCATGATCGAATGTGTGACAAACAGACAAATCCTGTGATGACAAGAACAACTGCCTCAACTGTGTTGAATTTCAGGAGCAATTCCTGTCATTTGCTACTGGAAGTCTAAGCAGTTATGAATTTTAGAAGCTATGAGCCTCTAACTTTCAATTCAGATAAGATACATGTCCCTTCTGGGGGGAGAAATGGCAACTGCAAAGAGGCCCCTTTTATATTTTTTGTAATTATCAGGAAAATTTAGTTTTGGGAAACTAATTGGTGAGTTATTTCAGCATGGAGGTGGAGGGGTATAATGTGTAACACTTCGCTGCTTTTTTTCTCCTCATCTTTTTTTTTTTTTTTTTTCATAAAATCAGAGGGAAAAAATATATCTAGTGATTTGAAACTGAAGATCGAATCATGGGATATGCCTGTACTTTCAGGCAAATAGCTGTCTGTTCACAGTGCCGTATGCTTGGTGACTTAAAATAATTTTGTATATAGCAAATAGAAATGCTAGTTTTTTATGCTATTGATTCTTCAGTGACTTAATATCAAGTGCAGTATTTTGCTTATGGTTAATGGGATACTGCTCAGTACCTTAGAAAATTGTCTAAGGTGTACTTCAGTGTCTTTTTATGGTGGCATGTGTGGGAATTCTTAAAAACAATGGAGCTCTGTTTGGTATATGTTCTTTTTATCAAACTTGTGTTTCTGGCTTGACCATATTTACTCAAAGCGTACTTAAAATGCCCTAAGACTTTTTTCCAGTAGTGTTTGAAAACTAAATACTGGGTTCTGAGGATTGACACAGCTGTATATAAAGGATAAGACCATAAGTGTAAACAGTCATAAGACCATAAGCATAACATGTCATAAAAGGAGATACTGCATCAAAGGGAAATGCGTTCCTAGCCTTATCAGTTAATAAAAGTTAACATGTCCACCCAGGATTCCTCTGTTTGAAATGCTGATACAGGAATACTTATGCAAGTATGAGCAGTAGTTTGCAGAATATTTGACATACCATCTAGTTTTTAACTTGTCAGAGCCTTTGCTGTAATGTATTGTTGGGTGTCGCAGGTTGAATATGTTAGTGATGAAGTTTCTAGTTCACACACAGCTGTTGGCTTAAGGATCTTCTGTTATAATGGTACTAGGTGGGACTCTGGTTCTGAAGCTGCCTTTAAATAGAAACATTGGAAAACCAGACCCTTGAAGTAGTGTGGGGTGGTTTGGATTGTGTGGTGGGTTTTGCTTTTGTGGAAGGAAACGAGGTATGTGATTGTGTGTGATGGGCATTGTGCTGATATGATACTCTGTTGAGTGCCATTGTAGTCTTAGAAGTGATTTCTGCTTGGATGTCTCCTTTGTGAAGTAGAGGTGACTTGTGTTTTTTAGCAGCAGCAGCAGAAGCTTTAGAAGGACGTGAAGCAGTATCAATAAAATGCTGAAACAGTGACATTGTTTCAAGATTTGTAGAGACTGTAACTGTCATTGAGGTGATTTTAATGATGATATCAAGTAGATGGTATGAATTAAGTGTAGTTCAGATACTTAATTTAGCTAAGTATTTAATGAAATACTAAATAGCAAAGTCAATGAATTCTTCCTTCTCTGTTCGCTACCAGCAGAAGTGCAATATTGAAAAAACGTATCTCCTGGAAGGTCTCCAAATGCTAGAGAATTTAACTGCTGGGCGTTCAGAATAGTTAATGGGCCCACGCATGCTCCTCATAAGAAGCTGAAGAGATTTTATTTTGTAAAGGATGCTACGTAACTCTGTTAAACCTTACTTCAGGCAGAAGTCTTTACACATGCCTTTAGTTTCAGTGACAGGATTGTGAGTGTGAGGCTGGTTTGGAAAAGTTGTCTCAGCAAAATGACAAACACCTGGGTTCAGAAGTAGGTATGAACTTCAAGATTGATGTAATTATACAAAGGAAATGTCTCTCCAAGTACTTGACAGGCATATTTTCTGTCAGTGGATTTTGAACTTTTTACATTGGCTCCAAGCAGGTTTAGTCACTGGGAGTGCTGTTGGCTGAGTATAATACTTATACAACAGTTACTTTCTGTCCTGTATTTGACTCTGTAGGCCTTCAGAGCTGTCATTCCAGCTGTGAAACTGACGGCGCACTCTAATGTGCAGTGTGTATTTAAATGAAGTTATAATGAAGTAATTCTGCCTTTGAACAGTTTCTGTTCCCTCCAACTGTTGAATCCCTCATGAAATGGAGAATGAAATCAGAACTAAAATCACCTTTAGCTAAGAAGGTATGCCTGAAGAGTGCAAGGTGGTAAGGAAAATGATTTCTACAAGCAGGTCAAAAAGCAGTAAAATGAAGTCAAAATAAGAAAGCAAGTGGGCAGGAGTTTAAAAAAGAAAGGGCTGTGGAATTCTGAGGACATGTCTCTTAATGGGGAGATACAGTATTGCTGCTTTAAAATCTCCTGTAAATGAGTAGCAGAGGCCTCTATGTTGGCCTGTTTCAATTATCTTCCAATGGGTCAGCAGAGCCTGAAAATGTCATGCTTTGCAGATCTTTGTCATGTGGTTTGATTCTGAAATATGCAATGCATGCCAGTAATGCATACTGAAGTTGGAGAAATGTGGTTCGAACTCTAGAATTCTATGTAATTGAGCTTCCTAGTATTTTCTCTAGGGTTTTGTAACTTTCTGATAACTGGGATGCAGAATAGAGGTTTTTTTTTTGTTCTTCAGTTTGTTGTACAACAATAGATCACACTTGTTTAGGAAAAACAAAGCAAGATATGTTAACTTAGTTACAGCGGAGGGGTTTTGTTTTACCTCTTAAAGTATATGCTGCAGTGGTTTATTATGTAGGCCGCTCTAAAGGTTGTTGCATATTGGTCAGCTTTTCCCTGGAGAAGCTGAAAAAACAAAATCACTTTGACGTAAAGAATAAGCAATGTGAGAGATGTTTGGTAGCACAGAAAGCAATTTAATGATGTTAGTTTCATGTAACATGGGGGTATCATTTTAAGTGTGCCGTAGACATAGGGTGGTTCATACCTGGTATATTACAACTTGGATGCTCTGTGTGTTTCAAAAAATCTGAACCAAAAAAGGCATGCATGAAAGAAAAAAAAAAGTATAGCTTCCCCTGCCCTCTCCCCCTCCCAAGGTGGTGAATGTTGCTCTGGACCAGGGTTTTGACGCTCAGTGTTTTATGACATTTAGTTGGTTAGTACCATGGTCAAGTTGTTGGTTTAATCATGTGATTTTACTGACTGTTAAACTGGTTGCAGCCAATACATGCTTCAAACTTTTGATACCCAGTGCTTCTGTCAGAGTGTTGGTTACACTTCTGTTAGTTTGAATGCCTTGTGTGAGACAACTGTTGTCCCGAGGCAGGCAGTTCTTATGTTTAGTTCCTTGTTAATGAGGTAAAATGGGGATTAATAGATCAAAAAGCCTGGTATGTTCAACATGGATAAATGAAGAAACTTGGCAAAACTGGTATGTAAGGGCTGTTGTTCTTTAGGTTTGGATTTAGTATTTGGGGCTTTTTTCCGTAAGTATAATTTTTAGGCTGTGGTTAGTATCTTTGCCAAAATACGTGTAGGTATTTGTCTCTGTGACTCTTCCCGATTGCTTCTGGTTTCGCTTTTATATTTTGTGGTTTTGGTAATGAGATATTGGAGATGAGTGGAAATCTTAAAATTTGATAAGCAGAAAGGTTAACTAATAGGTCATTCTTCTTTCAAACACAAAATTGGCAAACATTAAAATGGATGTAACTTTTATTTTGAATAACATGTTTACAACCTCCAAAAGCATGATTCAGTGTTCCTGTTTGTTGTGTTATTCTGTTTTTTCCTTGTATAAATGATTTGTGGAATGTTTCAGTTGTAATTTCCCCTAATCAAAGTTACTGGGATATGAAATTGTTATTGCTGACAGTATTTGTTTACTTAAATATTCATAGCTACTTCTGGGCAATGAAGATATAAATACACAACACTACTGTGAATAAAACGTTCATTAAGTTCTATCAAGGAAGTCCCAGTATAAATATTCTTCAGGTGCCTGATAATTAGCTGTACGTTGTGTGTCTACAAGCAGGGAAGTATTGAAAAGAACATTTCAAATATTACCTTTATCCTTGTCAACACCCTAAAATATGGAGAAGGGAAGAGACACAAGAGAATCCTAGATCAGAACAAAGTATCTATCCTTTTGCATTGACTGTGACCGTGGCTTTTCTCCTCACCTTGAGTCATAGGCTTTTGAAGTTGTTGAAAAGGGCAGTGCCAGTGCTTGCTAAAAACCTCTGGAGTTGGTCTGGGCTCTACCTGTAATTTAAAAACAAACAAAAAAGGCCTTGGGGATGGGGGACATTGTTACAGAAAAACTGCAGACCCTGATTTGCTGGCCCGTTGGTGACGATGGAGTTTGGGTTTTGCTGTTGATGAAATCATATGCAAGCCAGTCAAGCTGCAGCCTATTTTAAAAAAATATGTTTTCACACTTTTCAGGAAGAAAAGGTTTTATGCCATTTTGAGCCAGTGCTTGTTTAGGAAACAGATGTCTGATTTCACTTGTGTAGTAGGGTATGCTGTGAGCCACCATATACATATATATAAAAAAAGATATTTTGATAGGAGTTAGTCTGTTTATTT